ATGAGACGTAAAGGCGTTTCCGGGTCCATTATTTTCAACAAACTGGCTACTGGAACAATACACCAAAATCTAGAATTTAAGGCGAAAAACTTGTGCGATTTCAAAATGGATCTAATAAAGTGGCAATTGAACTTCGTGTCGTGCAATTTTGGTCTGAAATCATACTTGTGATTTGAAATCATTTCAGACCAAATTGCACTCCACTCAGTTCAATTACCATTATGAATCATCTGTGATTAAATCAAGTATTACTTGCTTCACTTTTTTATCGTATATTCCTGTTACTCAAAGTCGTGTCAGTTACCTTCAGTTGTCGGAATTGTTGTAGCAGCTGGAACTGCAAAAGAAACAATTGCAAATATACATAGGTAACTATTTGGTGCTTAATCGACAGTTTGTAATAAAAAGATAAGAATTGTTGAGATTACTATTTTACCGTAACCATTTTCGGAAATCTACATTTAGAAACCTTTTCGATATGCCTTGGGATTTTGCTTCAGTGACATCGCAAATTAGTTCAGTGGATTACAAAAGTTTTAACAGACGGTGAAGTGCATATATTTCTTACTCTGCGTTACTAAGTACACAAGGGAAACTGAATTTCTCGTAACTGATTCATGATATAAATGTTTTTGCACAAACTCCATCAGTAACTCACATGATCCAGTGGTCCTTATGACGATTGCAATGAAGCTTCCTTCAACCTTATGTCTTCTTTCAGCCACCTCACTCACTCTGTTCTTAGCGTAGATTTTAAAGCTGTAATAACCAAATGGAGAAAGATCTGCCACAATCACTTGAGTCACGTTTAAACCTTCCTTATTTGGTATGTAACTGACATCTCTCTCACAGTACCCCTCGAGACACGTATTATTGCTGTCACATGCCTTACGACAACTGACGTCATAATACACACGTGTCTGATCACCAGTTATGACAGGAGGCAGCCATCTTATCTCTACAGCACTCTGGTTAACAAAGGTTACAGTGACATGCCTTGGGGCTGATGGTAAAACTAAAAGCAATGAATACGCATATTTAGCACTAAGTGGGTAAAATGACATAATCCTGGAAAATGTAGTGATCATTTCTTTTCCTTACAGTATCTAACTGGGAAAATAGCAATAAATGATCATTGTGTCCTGGTGCAATCATAGGAAAGTAAGGGACCACAACGATTAACAACCTGCTTGCAGGCCAGTAAAAAATAGGAAGAGAGAGGGTAACGTTGCCGAACCCCCCTGAGGACAGAAAAAAACCCACAAACTTCAAACTACAACTTTCCGAGTAGCACTAATAGAAAAACCCAAGCCGAAAGAAGGAGAGTTTTCTTAAGAAAGGACCATTTTAGAGTGTCAAACGCCTTTATTTCTAGGTCGAAAAAGAGTAGCACAAATGGCAGGCCACCAGTTCTGTACTTTTCCCCATTTCCATGTTTTTCAAGGCTGTTAAATATTCTGTAACGCATTTTTCAATAGATTCACTTCCGCCTTAACTTAAAACTGGCGTATCAATTATCTGAAAAAAAAAACCTATCAGCTGGTGGAAAATCCGTCTAAAGCTTGGACGAGTATAAATCTTTGTAGAAAGCCTTGCATTCACCAAGAATTTCTTTGTCTGACGTTGCGAATTCGTTTTCGCTTTTCTTCTTTTTTTCTAGATTCAAAACATATTCCTGTTTTTCCAGCCTGACTGTGCTACTGAGTTTTGGAATGCAAAATAGCTCATAGTCATGAATTACTCTAAAGCGCGCGATCGTCAGGCGATGATGACGATAACTGGCACCAGCTTTACGTAGTCTTCATGTAAAGATAGGTTCTAAGTGATACTAACCCGTGAAACAAAATGACAGTGAGATCAGTTCCAAGGTGAACCCAGTAGGAATCGACAAGAGAGTACCTAATACCAGTTAAATGGAAAAATTAAAAACATAGCAGGACATTATTACCAGACTTATACGAGAATAAGTCCCAAATGCAGAGAAAGGATTTAAGCTACCGTTGAAAATGTGAAAAATTAAATTTCAAGTTTCTTACTTGTGCAATTAAGTCCCCTCTCGTCATTATATGTACCACCTGGACAAACTAAAAAGAATTATTATAAGCTATAAGCACAAATATCGTGCGCCTTCTTGCTTTACTGTATCGAGGAGGTATGGAACCGAAAATAATACAATTACTCTCTTTGGCTCATGCTGGTTTTCAGGTCATTCCAGAATCTGAAAACATATTCCATCTTACTGCAGAAATGTTTGCAAAATGCAACATACCTTCGCATATCCCCCCATTATCGTTATGCATGTCTTCTTTACAAATACATTTTCCCTCAAGTCCAGTGGTGTTCCACACGCCATTACTTTCACAGTGAACGTACAAACTGCCTGATACTTGAACTGTATCTTTGATACAGCTTCCCTGAACTTGAATGGAGTTGGACTCATTTGCTGGAGCTACAGTCCTTGGTAGGAACACCAAACGGTTATTGAGCGGTTCATAAGGGCAAACGTTGTAAGTGACTTTGACAGAAAGCAGAGTACTACAGGCTCCATAATTATGGAAAGCTAAAATAACATACTTTCCCTTAGGAAGGAAGTTTATTGTTTCGGAAAATCTCTTATAAGTAGCCTGTCTAATTACTGCTGCTTTTTCATACGCTATTCTGTTACCGTGAGGGTCAGGGTATTGAGACTTATCTGCAATAAGCTGGTCTGAGTGGTTAACGAACAAGTCAAAAGCATCATCGCAGTATGATCCTCCATTATTCGGGAAGGTAGAGCAACTTCTGATGAAGTAGTCGACAGTGATATCGATCCTGCTTGCATTCCTGATTGAGATTTGATCACTTATCAACCAATTGTCTGGTTGGGGACTTGACAGTGGTAAGTTGACATCACATGCTACATATCGTGTAGGGTTAGTGTTCCTCATCCACTGAAACGATAAATAGTTGCACAAACAAGATATAACATAGACAAAAATTAGATATTATTAATCAATTTGTTAAATAACTCATACTGCTCGAATATGAATTGGACCTTTCGATCTGAAATGTGACTGAAACATGATTGTGTTGAACGTATCCCTGTACGACTGGTATTGAAACTGTAATTTTGGTTTGGTCATTTATCATCTGACTGAAAAATTACTTCCTTGTGATTGGCTGAGAGCAGGCCAATTTTCGTTAACTTTACTTTGCACCGCAGTGAAAATTAACGCGCTTACGTTCGTAAATTTCTCAGTCATATAATAAGCGTTTAATCGTATGAAAGAGCGAGCAATTAAAGATGTACATTCCTCGTTATATTTGAAAATTTTTTCAAATTGTACTCGCCTAAAGGGTCGTGCAATTTTGAGAGAATTTTCAAATGTGTTTAAATCCTTAATCCTCCGTAGGAAAAAAGATGGCGACTGGTACATTTACCCATAGTTCTTAGTGCACGAAAACCTTAACAACGTTCATAAAAACGTACAGAAACGTTATAAAATCTTCAAACTTAGGCTACTCAATGTCCTTAGTACAGGGAAAAATATTGTAAAAATTTCACTTTCTTTGTGCCTCGTAGGCTGTGTTAGGTTCGCAAGGCATTGTGGTAAAATGTACAGCCGCCATCCTTTTTCCTACGGTGGATTGCACTCGCATTCATAGCGGAGCTCCAGCGCACGAAGAGCGCCAGCGGAGCACCATGTGCAGGAGAATTTGTTTAACCATCAAGCCAAGTTGCTTAGGCGAGATAAGCTTATCTTCAATAGGAGTTGTAAAGTCTTCCTGATTTGAAACCATGCTCTGAGACATTTTATAAATTTTATCGTTTTAATTTCGGGCTTATCTCTTAACAATAATACTTGAGTCGCTTTGTCGCAGTTGTTGTAAGTTGCATATAGTAGCAATTAGTTTTCTGTCGGTTTTCGCCGGTAACCTCACGTGTAAAATAAAATTTAAAAAAAAACTGTATTTGAAAACACAGCCAAGTGAGTTTTGAAGTTTTATTTGTGTTAGTAGACACAGTCGCTTCGTAGACTGCTGAAATTTCCTTCTTCTGTTACGATTGGAAATCAAGTTAAGAAAGGTCAAGAAAACATTTAATGCTTTAAAATTGAACAGGAACAGGAGCCATAATCGGGGACGGAGACCGTAAGCGCGCGCCATTTCTAGTATTGGGGTTGTCCCCATGATATGGGACAATACTTCTATTTTTAGAACAAATTGCGC